TCACCCAAAACCCACCGTGTTTTCCTTTGCAGTTTGGACAAGGGGAATCTGCATGACGTGTTTTTCCTTTTGCAGACACTGCAAGGTTCCAGGGGACATAATCCAAAAATTTTTTTCAGGGGGCTCCCGGGGAAAAACAATATGAAGTTTAACGATAAGAAAATTTAAATTTTCTCAATAGGGTTTAAACATGAGGAAAATTTTAAAATCCCCTTCCAGGGTACAAAAAAAATTTTTGGCCACAAAATAAAAGCGAAACCCCAACGTCAAAGACCTGGGAGTGATTATGTCGGGGGTTTTCCCCTTAAAGGCCCCATAACTTTTATCAATCGCATCGGCTAGAAAAATACAGGAGGGATAATGAAAACCTTTAAAAATAGGGGGGGCCAAAGGGCCCATGATGCCCAACTCTTAGGTCACTTCCCCCCTATCTAGGCTGGAATTTTGCTGCACTCAACCCCACCCACCTTTCAAGGCAGGTGAAATTGCCGACCAGAAAATGTACAAGAACTTTAAAGGGGCGCGCTTTCCCGGAGTTTTAAAACACCTCAATTACTGGGAGCGCTTTGGGGTTTTCCAAACCTGTTTTCCCGGGAAAAAAGCAGGGGGGAGAGAAAACATGATTATATACACCGGGGAAAATCCTGGGGGACTTTCCCAAATTTTGCACACGAAAATCACTCTCTACGAAACAAAAGACTTGGCGGGGCCCGATGCACCACCCCCCCAATAAAAAACCCCGGGGGTGTCCCTAGCACGTTAAGAGAAAAATACAAAAGTGTCAGGGGCCCGAGACTTTTTCAACTCCCTCCCAGCCAATAAGGGGGATTACCAAAGCCCCCCTGGCAGTCTTCAAGTGGCAGGGACAAGCACCAAAAAAGGCATTTCCCCTGTAAACCCGGGGCGGGTGGCTCTTTACTTTTGGTTTTGGGCTTTGCACCCAGCACCCAACAGCCTGTTGATCAGGCGTGAAACCACCAGGGGGCCGGTAAAAGACCGGGGCCCCCGGGGGCGTTGACCCCCGAAAACTCTCCCAGGTAAAACTCCAGTTACTATTAGTTGTGTTGGGAAAATAGCCGAACTGTCAACTAACTCAAAGTTATTATTACTCTGTGTTAACAAGTTTAAACAGACCTTGGATGTCACTACTGCCCGGCTCCGGCTGGGTTACAAAATATCTTTGGCAGGTTTTTAAAAAACCAAACCCCCAGATGTAGACCCAAAAAGAAATGTAAAATTTGCCCGATGGGTATTGTCCCAAAACCCTGCGTCATTATTTTACTGGAGTGTGATAAAATTAATGAAATTTAGAAACAACTCACCAGAAGTGTTCAAGAAATTTCAAGTATTTTTTCCACAGTGGTATATTACAGACCATTCTGGAGAAAATTTCCCTGACCCTTTTCTGCTGAAAAAAAAAAGCCCCCCTTAAAACATATGTGCATGGGGTGTGTGTGTGTGTGTTGTGTGTGTTTGTGTGTGTGTGTGTGTGTTTTGTGTGGTCTGTGCTGTGTCTGGTCCTTTTGTGTGTGTGGGTGTGTGTGTCGTGTGTGGGTGGTGGGGGGTGTGGGTGTTTTGTTTGGGGGTGTTGGGGTGTGTGAGGGTGTTTTGTGGGTTTTTGGGGTGTGTGTGTTTTGGATGTGTGTGTGTGTGTGTGTGTGTGTGGGGGTGTGCGTCCTTTTGGGGGAAAGGCCCCATATTTGTTCGCCGTGTGCACATGTCCGGCGTGGCCCTGGTGTGTGTAGGTTTTGCGCGCGCTAGTGTGGGTGTAAAGATCCCCCTTAATATTGTATTTATAACTCATTACAATTTTGACCATTTTGGACGTATCAGTGGTTCATTACTTTGTAAATTTTCTCATGCTGAACCATGTATAGGATGAAGCTGATTCCCTTTCCTCTGTAAAATTTCCATGATTGTGACCAGATTCTACCCGGGGTTCATTACCTTTGGGAACTAGGGGTTTAGCTATCTAACTTTTGGGGCCGTCCTGGACTATTATGTACCTTTATAACTTTGGGCTACCGCCACGGATGGGTAGGGGTGCATAATAAACATATTAAAACTAAACTGTGTGTGTTTTTGTGTGTGGGGTGTGTGTGTGTGTGTGTGGTGTGTGTGGGTGTGTGTACTCACCCCAAATTTTTTACTCACCTATTTGTGGTTGCAGGGGGCGGTCTTAGCTCCTGGCCCCCCTCTTCCCCCGGTTGCACTGGGCCGTCTCTCCCCCCCCGCTCCATGAGCTTTATCAAACTCGTCTTAAAAACTGTGTATGGTTTCCTGCCTCACTACGTCATTTTCTTTCTTAGCTATTCCACAGCCTTACAACTCCGTATGACTGAAGAAATAACTTCCTAATATCTCTCCTGACTCATTTGGGTCTTCAAACTCCAATAGTGCCTCTTGTTTCTGTGTCCCCTCCCTGGAACATCCTGTCTTTGTCCATCTTGTCTATTCCACCAGTATTTTCTATATGTCGTTATCATGTCTCCCCCTGGACCCTACTGTCCTCCAGTTGTCGTCAGGCCGATTTCCCTTAATCTTTTCTTCATTAGACATTCCCCCTTACTCTGTAAACTAACCTTGTCGCAAACCTGTTGTACTTTCTCTAGTTTCTTGACGTGCTTTATCAAGTGCGGTTCTCAAACACGTGCTGCATACTCCAGTATGGGCCTGACATACACGGTAAATACAGTGTTCTTGAACGATTCTTACAAAGGTATCGGAATGCTGTTCTCAGGTTTGCCAGGCGCCCAATATGCTGCAGCAGTTATCGATTGATTGTGCTTCCGGAGACATGCTCGTGTTATACCACCCAAGATCTTTCCTCCTTGAGTGGAGGTTTGCAGTCTTTGGCCCCCCCCCACCTAGCCATACTCGGTCTGTGGTCTTCTGTGGACCTTCCCCCTACTTCATGACTTTGCATTTGCAGATTAAATTCGAGAAGCCATTTGCTGGACCAGGAGTCCATTTCTGTCCAGGTCTCTTTGAGTCCTGCCTGGTCCTCATCAGATTTAATTCCTCCTCATTAAACTTCACATCATCTGCAAAACAGGGACACTTCTGAGTGCTAACCCTTCCATCATGTCCGTTCACATATACCAAAAAAAGGCACTGGTCAGACCGACCCATGTGGGACCCCGCTCGTCACAGGTGCCCACTGTGATACATCATTACATACCATGACTCGTTGTTGTCTCCCTGTCAGGTATTCTCTGATCCATTGCAGTGCCCTTCCTGTTATATGCGCCTGATGCTCTAGCTTCTGCACTAATCTCTTGTGAGGAACTGTGTCAAAGGCCTTCTTGCAGTCCAAGAAGATGCAATCAACCCACCCCTCTCTCTCGTGTTTTTACTTCTGTTATTTTTATCATAAAACTCCAGAAGGTTTGTGACACAGGATTTGCCTTCCATGAATCCGTGCTGGTTGGCATTTATACTCCTGTTCCGTTCCAGGTGCTGTGTGTGTGTGTGTGTGTGTGTGTGTGTGTGTGTGTCTGTCTGTCTGTCTGTGTGTGTCTGTGTGTGTACTCACCTTTTTGTGGTTGCGTGCGTGTGTGTGTGTGTGTGTGTGTGTGTGTGTGTGTGTGTGTGTGTGTGTGGTGTGTGTGTGGTGTGTGTGTGTGTGTGTGTGACTCAACAATCAATATTTGCACCAATAACTCACTACAGTTGTGACCGGGTGTGGAAGTGTGAATTGCTCATTACTCTATAATTTGTTCATGATTGTAGCCAAAGTATAAACGTAAGTAACCATTCTACAGAATTCATTACCTTTGTAACTTGTGAGTTCATTACCTTTGTAACTTGTGAGCTCATTACCTTTGTACCTAGTTCAGCTATCAAAACTTTGGGGGCCCAGTCCCTGGACCCATTACATTTCCTCTGTAATCTGTAAATACCTTTGTAACTTGACATGATTGTGACCAGACCTACCTGGAGTTCATTACCTTTGTAAATTGTGAGTTCATTACCTTTGTAAATTGTGAGTTCATTACCTTTGTAAATTGTGAGTTCATTACCTTTGTAAATTGTGAGTTCATTACCTTTGTAAATTGTGAGTTCATTACCTTTGTAAATTGTGAGTTCATTACCTTTGTAAATTGTGAGTTCATTACCTCTGTAACTTGCTCAGCTATCAAAACTTTGGAGTCCAGTCCCTGGACCAATTATGTACCTCTGTAATCTTTTGACTACCGCCCACAGGATGGGTATGGGTGACTACCACCCACAGGATGGGTATGTGGTGACTACCGCCCACAGGATGGGTATGGTGTGACTACCGCCCACAGGATGGGTATGGGGTGCATAATAAACATATTAAACTAAACTAACTAACCTTGAATATAGCCAGAACTGTCATCTATACTCACTAGTTACTGCTACTCTGTGTTGAATATAGCCAGAACTGTCATCTATACTCACTAGTTACTGTTACTCTGTGTTGAATATAGCCAGAACTGTCATCTATACTCACTAGTACTGTTACTCTGTGTTGAATATAGCCAGAACTGTCATCTATACTCACTAGTTACTGCTTACTTTTGTGTTGAATATAGCCAGAACTGTCATCTATACTCACTAGTTACTGTTACTCTGTGTTGAATATAGCCAGAACTGTCATCTATACTCACTAGTTACTGCTACTCTGTGTTGAATATAGCCAGAACTGTCATCTATACTCACTAGTTACTGTTTACTCTGTGTTGAATATAGCCAGAACTGTCATCTATACTCACTAGTTACTGCTACTCTGTGTTGAATATAGCCAGAACTGTCATCTATACTCACTAGTTACTGTTACTCTGTGTTGAATATTTGCCAGAACTGTCATCTATACTCACTAGTTACTGCTACTCTGTGTTGAATATAGCCAGAACTGTCATCTATACTCACTAGTTACTGTTACTCTGTGTTGAATATAGCCAGAACTGTCATCTATACTCACTAGTTACTGCTACTCTATGTTGAATATAGCCAGAACTGTCAGCTACACTCACCAGTTACTTTCACTCAGTGCTGAATATAGCCAGAAGTGTCAGCTACATACACCTGTTTACATAGTGCTGATAGTTATGATAATTATAATAAAATACACACACTGATAACATCGTTGTGTTGGGACTGATAGCAAGATAACCTGCGCTATCTTATCTGAGTTGTACTTATCTAGCCCTTTCATGGAACAAGCCTGATTACCCTCCATTTATTGTCTAGGTGAGTTATTTCCACTTCGGGTTTACCGCTGGGTTATTGTAATGCCACTTAGGGCCTGACCCAATTAATAATAATAATAATAATAAATAATAATAATAATAATAATAATAATAATAATGTTTATTTCTAGCAGTACATGATGCAACTTATACAGACCATAGCTGACACCTATGACATACTACTATACAGAAAGTCACTTGTTATGATGAGTATTTCCCGCAAATTAGGTCAGTTTTGTCCCAGGATGCGACCCACACCAGTCCACTAACACCCAGGATGCGACCCACACCAGACCACTAACACCCAGGATGCGACCCACACCAGTCCACTAACAGCCAGGTACCCATTTCACTGATGAGTGAACATGGACAACCGGTGTAAGGAAACACGCCCAATGTTTCCACCAATGTGCCAGGAATCGAACCCGGACCCTCACAGTGTGAAGTTAGTTTAATATGTTTATTATGCACCCCATACCCATCCTGTGGGCGGTAGTCAAAAGATTACAGAGGTACATAATTGGTCCAGGGACTGGACTCCAAAGTTTTGATAGCTGAGTAAGTTACAGAGGGTGTGAAGAGAGAGCTTTAGACACCAGGTCACGGGGCTTGGTAAACTGGGACCTTAGTAGGTAGTTAGGTAAGTTTATTTAGGTACAGGTACACATAAGTGCAATTATCATACATAGTGCAAGTTATCCACTTGAATAACCCCAAAATAGTCAGACAAAGTGACTTGTTTCCATTGGCGTCCTCGTTAATTCCTCTCCAGAAGGAAAAAAACATCATTTCCTTCCAGTTTTCCTCCCATATTGGTGAAAAAAACAGAGCTGCGCGACCCTTGTGTGTTTAGCGCCTAATTTTAATAATAATAATAACAATGAGGGTCAAAATATATTTTTCCCCTGACATCCGGGTGACGGGAAAAAAAATGAAGGCTGGAGCCGTGGTGGCCCTTAACAACCACAACAAAAACGACAACAACATCAACAACGACAACAATTACTGTTGTCAGTCGCTCACCGTTGTTGTATTTATTGTATTTTCCGCGTTTCAGCGCGAGGTGGGTATTGTATAACTACCTTGTAAGGTATTACGGGGCATAATTATGCCCCGGAGACTATTATAATGAGAGATATGCTCTTAATTACCCACTTAATGACCAAGTTATGGTCTGTCACTTTCACTTTTCAAGTGGCGGTGATTAAGTGTATTTAGGTACACTTAAATACAGTTATATGAATTATTATACGTAGGAAGATGTATATTGAGCACCTCGAGGGTCTGGGGGATGATCTTCCCTTCCTTGGATCAAACCTGAGTTCCTCAGGTGGTGTTTGCCCTCAGGGGTTTAGCGCTTTGAAAATGAGGGAAGAATTTGAGTTTATCTAAACACGTAATTGATGTACTTATTCTTCTTGATGTACTCTTCCTTATTGTACTCTCCCTTCAAGTACTCTACCTTGAAGTGCTCTTACTTTTAAGTACTCTCCCTTGAAGTACTCTCACTTGTAAGTACACCCTGAAGTACTCTCCCTTGAAGTACTCTCACTTGTAAGTACACCCTTGAAGTACTCTCCCTTGAAGTACTCTACCTTGAGGTACTCTCCCTTGAAGTACTCTCCCTTGAAGTACTCTCCCTTGAGGTACTCTTCCTTAAAGTACTCTCCCTTGAAGTACTCTAGCTTGAAGTACTCTCCCTTGAGGTACTCTCCCTTGAAGTACTCTCCCTTGAAGTACTTAGCTTGAAGTACTCTCCCTTGAAGGGACCCTCCCTTGAAAGGGACTCTCCGCTTGAAGTACTCTACCTTAAAGTACTCTGCTACTCTCCCTTGAGGTACTCTCCCTTGAAGTACTCTCCCTTGAGGTACTCTCCCTTGAAGTACTCCCTTGAGGTACTCTCCCTTGAAGTACTCCCTTGAGGTACTCTCCCTTGAAGTACTCTCACTTGTAAGTACACCCTTGAAGTACTCCCCCTAGAGGTACTCTCACTTGAAAGTACACCCTTGAAGTACTCCCCCTAGAGGTACTCTCCCTTAAAGTACTCTCCCTTGAAGTACTCTCACTTGTAAGTACACCCTTGAAGTACTCTCCCTTGAAGTACTCTACCTTGAAGTACTCTCCCTTGAGGTACTCTTCCTTGAAGTACTCTCCCTTGAAGTACTCTAGCTTGAAGTACTCTCCCTTGAGGTACCCTCCCTTGAAGTACTCTAGCTTGAAGTACTCTCCCTTGAGGTACTCTCCCTTGAAGTACTTTCCCTTGAGGTACTCTCCCTTGAAGTACTCCCCCTTGAGGTACTCTCCCTTGAAGTACTCTACCCTGAGGTACTCTCCCTTGAAGTACTCTACCCTGAGGTACTCTCCCTTGAAGTACTCTCCCTTGAGGTACTCTCCCTTGAAGTACTCTTCCTTGAAGTACTCTCCCTAGAGGTACTCTCCCTTAAAGTACTCTCCCTTGAAGTACTCTACCTTGAGGTACTCTCCCTTGAAGTACTCTCCCTTGAGGTACTCTCCCTTGAAGTACTCTCCCTTAAGTGGCCTGGCTGGCAAATCACTCACTTCACACACGGAGGGCCCGGGTTTGATTCCCGGCGGGTGGAAACATTTTGACACGTTTCCTTACACCTGTTGTCCTGTTCACCTAGCAGCAAATAGGTACCTGGGTGTTAGTTGACTGGTGTGGGTTGCATCCTGGGGGACAAGATTGAGGACCCCAATGGAAAAAAACAGTCCTTTCCGACGCACTGACTTTCTTGGGTTATCCTGGGTGGCTAACCCAGCGGGATTAAAAATCTGAACAAAATCATCTTACCCTTAAAGTACTCTCCATACATATAGAACTATTAACCAGTCACACATGGTGGGCTATTAACCAGTCACACATTATACGTGTGACTGGTAATGGTCCAAGTCGGACCAAAATGCCGTCATGAATTTCTTCTCCTGTGTGCGGGTTATCTGTGTATTGTTCCAGTTATGGGATTGTGATTTTCTGCTCTTTATGTCCTCTTCAGAAGATAGGGCAGACTTACACATGACATATATGAGAAGTAATGGTTTTGGGGACAAAAAGTTGGGGGTCGACCTATACGTGTGTACGTTATTTTGTACTCCATTTAATGCATCAATTGTTTCTTTTTTTGTAGATGATCCTGGTACAAGAGGAAGTACACTGTAGTACCAGTACTTTAGATCATCCTGGTATAAGAGGAAGTACACTTGTAGTACCAGTACTGTAGATGATCCTGGTACAAGAGGAAGTACACTGTAGTACCAGTACTGTTGATGATCCTGGTACAAGAGGAAGTACACTGTAGTTCCAGTACTGTTGATGATCCTGGTACAAGAGGAAGTACACTGTAGTTCCAGTACTGTAGATGATCCTGGTACAAGAGGAAGTACACTTGTGGTACCAGTACTGTAGATGATCCTGGTACAAGAGGAAGTACACTGTAGTACCAGTACTTTAGATCATCCTGGTACAAGAGGAAGTACACTTGTAGTACCAGTACTGTAGATCATCCTGGTACAAGAAGTACACTTGTGGTACTAGTACTGTAGATCATCCTGGTACAAGAAGTACACTTGTGGTACCAGTACTGTAGATTATCCTGGTACAAGAAGTACACTTGTGGTACCAGTACTGTAGATCATCCTGGTACAAGAAGTACACTTGTGGTACCAGTACTGTAGATCATCCTGGTACAAGAAGTACACTTGTGGTACCAGTACTGTAGATCATCCTGGTACAAGAAGTACACTTGTGGTACCAGTACTGTAGATCATCCTGGTACAAGAAGTACACTTGTGGTACCAGTACTGTAGATCATCCTGGTACAAGAAGTACACTTGTGGTACCAGTACTGTAGATCATCCTGGTACAAGAAGTACACTTGTGGTACCAGTACTGTAGATCATCCTGGTACAAGAGGAAGTACACAAAAATACCACTGCAATTCGCCCTAATAGCCTGCGATGACAATTCTTTTCAGTACACATCTGATGTAATCTTAGACTGCAATAGGGTAGTTTTTGTTAAAAATAGCATACAATAGCATAAACAAGTGTGTCTAAGTTGATCTTTTTATCTCAGATTATTATAATAATCATAACTAAAGTGGTAAACCCATATGGGTCATACAGCACTTCATACTTCATTATTAGATGAGCAGAATTAACTGAAGGTTTTAGTATCGGTTGAATATGCAGTGGGCACGAGAAGAGTAAATATGCAACTGTTGTTACGGTGAGGGTACTGTTGTGCAGTACTAATAAATGTACAGCTATTATGGTGAAGGAACTATTTATGACTATCATTTAATAGTATAACTAGTATTAAAGATACTATTTATTTGATCATTGTGCAGTAGTATCAATAGTTACTGCAACGTATCAGGTGAATAATTTCCTATGTTTTATTCTCATCCATCTGTTATGTCTTATTCTTCAGTTCCTGTGTCAGTGTAGTGTTCCCAGATATGAGAATTAATATAATTTTTTCTCCAGAATATTCCTGCTTTTTACAATCATTGTTTTTCACAATCATTGTATTTTATCATTTGTGACACTTGTCGATGCAATATAGCGCGTCGTCGATGAGAAACGTAAAAATTCTTGCAAGATAACATTCTTGACGATTTTTTTTACGTTTGCTTTGTTAAACAAAAGGTGGATGTAAATGAATATTATTTGTAGTTTAAAACATTCTTTGTTTATTCTTATTAATGTATGACCATTGTGGCAGTAACACTGTGTCGGTATTTTATACCATTTATTTCCAGTACAGGAGACACACTAAGACAGTATAACGGGGAGAGTAATTGTTTTATGCCCCCAAGATAATTATAAATTACTTTTAAAACATGACAGTGTGTATTAAAGACTATCAGTACTCAATTTAAAACACACATTCTTTGTTTATTCTGTATATTGTATTAGCATTCTGGCAGTTACATTTGTGTATGAGGCACTAAAACAGGAGAACGGTGAAAGTTATTATTTTACAACCCCAAGATGATTATAATTTTTTTTTAAACACAGCAGTGTGTGTAAAATAAAACGCTGTCGGTATACGTTGTTGCAAATGTTGGTAAATAATTTATCAATAATTTTTTAATGAAGTGCAGTTTAATATTATTATTATACAAGTGCTAAACCCACAAGGGTCACATAGCACGGTGTTTAAGAACCTTGCCGGGTAAGTGCTCTGCGGCTGGTGAATAGCTCTTGATCCAGGGAATCATTCCTGGTTGTCAAACATTGTATGACCAATACAGGTTTAGTGCTTGCCCATGTTTATATCAGAGAAATATTTTGGCTATCACTTTAATGTAACAGTCTCAGAGATCTCGTTTGGTTAATCACCTTATAACTCATATGAAAGATTAAGTGTTCACTATGTCTGAAGTCCTGGAAGAGTGTGTTCAAACATCACAAATTTTAGCTCAACCAGAGGACAAATTACTTCAGTATCCGCAGTCTCTGGAAGAGCTTTCGCAAAATTCTCAGCACACATCTTCAACTAGAATCCATAAGAGGAAGAAAGTGCTCCAGTGTTCGGCGTGTGAAAAACAATTCTCCCACAAATCACTGTTAGATTCACACATGAGGATTCATACTGGTGAGAAGCCATTTAAGTGCTCAGTGTGTCTAAAAAACTTTGCTCAAAAGGCTACTTTAACAAGCCATATGAGAATCCATACTGGAGAGAGACCATACAAGTGTTCAGAATGTTCAAAAAGCTTTACTCAGAAAGCCACTTTGACGAGCCACATGAGAATCCACACTGGGGAGAAACCATACCAGTGTTCGGTGTGTCTGAAAGACTTCTCTCGGAAACATTACTTAATAAATCACACGAGAACTCACACTGGAGAGAAACCATACAAGTGTTCGGAGTGTCTAAAAGAGTTTTCTCAAAAAGGTCCTTTATCAAGTCACATGAAGATTCACACTGGAGAAAAATCATACCAGTGTCCAGAGTGTCTAAAAGATTTCTCTAGAAAAATATATCTAGTAAATCACATGAGAATCCATACTGGAGAGAAACCATTTCAGTGTTTGGAATGTTTGAAACACTTTTCCCAGAAATTTAGCCTAGTCCAGCATATGAAAATTCACACTGGGGAGAAACCATTTCAGTGTTCCGAGTGTCTAAAAAACTTTTCACAGAAATTCGGTCTAGAGCAACACCTCAAAATCCACACTGGGGAGAAGAGATACCAGTGCTCAGTGTGCTCAAAAAAATATTCCCAAAAAGTTGGCCTAGCAC